GTGTGTGTGTGTGTGTGTGTGTGTGTGTGCGTATTTGTTTATTTGTGAGAATGTTTGTGAGTGAGTGTGAATGCTTAGCACATTTGAACAGAAGCGATGAATTGGGCGAATGCGCTTTGTCGGTCTTTTCGTCATTTCGTAGCAATTCGGTGTTGTTTATTTTAAAATATGTTTATAAAAATTATGCGATATTATGAATAAAAATTTGCATATCAGTGGGAAGAAATTGATTAATTTATTTAGTAGCCATAAAATGAGAATCGAAATGATCGATCGATTAGCAATTGCCCTCTCTCTTCCTCCCTCTCTCTCTTTCTCTCTTTTTCTCTTTTGTTCCCACTTTTCTATACTGATTTTTATTGATAATTAACAAATTTATCCATTCTCCTAAAAATGATTGTTGCATTACAGTGCGCTGATAGTTCAAAAAAAAAAGACAAAACAAAACAAGAGAAAAGATCAAGAAAAAAAACAGAAGAGGATAGAATAGAATAGAATAGAATACGATAGGATAGGATAGGATAACACAAAACAGTATTAACGACAGCAACAAATACGGCCAGATTATTATTATAATGGAAGGACAACAGCCTAGTTCGACAGCATCTGTGATTACAATATCATCTGTGGAAGACAATTCCTCCTATCTCGAATTTTGTACGTCACTTCAAACGTTTTCTTTTTTTTAAATTTAAACAGTTTAAGTAAGTGTTGGATTTTCATGAATAAATTTTATGCTATATGTTTTTTTTTTTTGTTTATGTAATGATTGATAACAAACAAGTTTCTTTTTTTTTTCAATTAATTGAGAATTTTTCTAAATTGATATTTGTAATCTATTTGTTCTATCTCTTTCTTTCCTTCAATAATATTTTCGTCTTTTTTTTAAATTTATATATGATTTATTAATCTTTTTTGACTGTATTTTATTGTAATATCCATTTTTGCTCGTTCAGTTTATCATTTCCGATCTGAATGAGTTAATGTGTTTCGAATGTCGCGTAACTTTTGTAGTATTACTTCGTCAAGCACAGACGAAGTAGACCGTAAAATTTGATGAATTTAATGAATAGATTGATTTCTAGTTGACAGTATCACACATTATTTTTTTCGTTATTGTACTTCGGATCTCTCCTTATGTGACACTTTTTATTCTAATGCTATATTTAATGTTGGGTACAACGTTAGCACTTTCGTTTCATTTCATTACGCTAACAATTTCTTAAATGTATTTTTTTCTTCTTTTTTTAAATTTAATTTCTTTTGTTTGAAATGAAAAAAGATTGGAAGTTAAGCCTTATTTTATTGCTTATGTTTGAGACAGAAATGCTTCTTTTCATTTTACACTTTAGCACAATCCATTTTTTAATTATTCATTATTTTACTCCGATACATATCTTCTATTGATCAATTCAGGTTGTAAATAACAATTAAATGTGACCTCTTTTCGCAATATTTAAACTTTTGAAATAGTTAGATTTTTACTTAATAGAGATTATGTCATATTAATTTCATTCTTCAAGAGACTTTGATTTTATTGGAAAAAATTGTTTTGCTAATTAAACAAAAAAAATTTTCTTTTTGCTAAAATAACTATATTACGAGATAGATTCTAAAATGAAAGAAAGTAAAATTAATTTGAAATTTATATGTTATACGACAATGTTGTATGAGTTATCGATTATCACTGGCAATTATTTGTGTATGTGAATGATTAATTATCAATCTTCAAAGAAAAATCATAATTGCTATTGCTATTGCAATTTTCTGTTCTCTTCACTCCTGTTTTTTTTCCCCTGTCGTTTCAAATAATTTAGCGAAAAGCTTTTAATATCGTTCTATTAAGACTTTCAAGCACACAATTTATATGTTTGAGAATAAAACACAGGAATTGAACTCGAAGATCATTTGACTTCACTTTTGTTAAATGCATCATTTCTGATTATATATGTTCATTATGTTATGTTACGTAATGTTATAATTGTCAAAGTTAGGAAAGTTTTGTGTGGAACTAAAAATGATTTTAAATTGCTTCACCTTTGCTTTAAGTAAACATTTTCTCATTATTTTAAAGAGGATAAGTTATAAACTGACAACAATGAATGTCTGATTGGATTGTTTGAGGCATTGCTCTTTTCTAAGTTACGTAGTCATTGTTTACCCAAATCATCTTTTTTCTCTCCTCGTTTCTCTCATGAATTTTAAAAGTGAAATCGTAAAATCTTCCTGCTGATAACCACTGTTTATAAAAAGATCAAAGTTCACCGCTATGATGTTTACCTACTTTATGGATGTCTCACTCAGTTGTCACGGAAAACCATCATCATCATTATTACGGCATTTGCATTCACTTTAAACTTTCAGTTACCCATCATTAATACTTCTCTTTCGATAGTAAAGATGAGATCTCCTTTTTTTTGTAGTGAAATTTTAACTTTGTTTCATATTTGTAGAAAATATGATAAAAATAAATTGGAAAATGCTAATTTTCTTTTTCTAAAATCATTCATATTCTCTTCTTAATGACTAGTGAAATTATTTTTAATTCATAATATTTTTATTTCTACTTTTTTTTTACTTTGAACACATTGAAAACCGTTTGTTTGAAAATATTTCAAACAAATTTTTCACATTATATAAAAGAAGAAAAAGGTGGTAAATTCAACGATGCAAATTTTTTTTAATGTTTCAGTTCACGATTCACCGGCATCATCGTCCCGTCCTTTAACGGCCAACAGTAGCACGCATACATCACCAATGCGATCTTTGTCGAGTTCCTCCGGTGGCTTATATATAAGTGCCCCCGGGAAGATTATTTTATTTGGTGAACACGCTGTTGTCTACGGGCGGGTTTGTTTCATTTTTCTTTTTCTCTGATTTTTCGATTCAAGGACAAACAAAATTTTGTAGAATTTTTCATTGGAATTTGGAATGCTTGAAAAGAAAACATGACATGAAAGTTTAAATTTTATTATTATTCTCTCAGTTCTTTTACAGTAGTGATACATCAACATATGGATTATCTTAAATACTAATAGGTAAAAATACCTCTATGGCATGCAATACTGAGATTAGCATTTATGGGGTATATTTTATATTGAACTTTTAATCAACAATGTACAAATTAATGCTAATCTGTCGCATGCATGCATTAAATTATTTGACATCTGTTTGTATGGTAAACTGAGAACTCTTATTGGAAATAGTAAAGTAATAAATAGTTTGTTTATGAAGTAATAAATATTGATTGAAAAAAATGTATTAGAATTTTTATTACAGACAGCAGTTGCTGGCTCTATAGATTTGCGCACTTATGTTAGCTTATTCACTTCGGCCGATGGCAGGATATATTTGTCGTTACCTGCTCTCGGTGTTGAAAAAACCTGGTTACTAAAGGATCTTTTAAGAGCCGGTGAACGTCTTTCTGGTTGGTTTGTTTTTTTTTTTCATTTTTTCCTTTTGTATCATACGAATTAATTGAATTGATAATTATATGAGAATAGCTAAATGTAAATAACTTTAATTTACAATTACTATTTTATATCCGATTAAAAAATTCTGGATACTTATAATGTTTTTTTTTGTTTTTTTTTAAATGAATGGTTTTTTTTGAGCAGAAAAGAGGAAAATGATGTTGTTTTTCGTCTTGGAATTTTTTTTATTATTAATTATATGCACTTTTTATGGCTTTTTTTTGATTATTTTGAGGAAGAAACTGTCATTTTAGCTTCAGATTGAGTTAATTTCATTTTATTTCGTATTTGATTTAAAACACATCTTTATTAGTTTAATTTGTTTTCATTTTTTTTTAGAATACGCGGTTGATGACGGATCACCACCATCGCTCGAATTACTTGTGCCTATAGCTCGAAAACTGAGTGGATCTTGTGAGGATCAATGCGGTGTACAGCATCTAGCAATATTAGCCTTCTGGTATCTTCTTCTCGGTGTAGTGCAGCGAAAAAAGTTTGTCCTTAAATTGAAAAACCTTTGATCTGTTGATAAGTTATTCAAATATTTAGAATAATATAGTAGTATATATCTGAAATTTCCTTTTTTTAGTAGCATTCATCGAATAATTTTTCACATTAATAAACGATTATTTTATTATTGTCTGATTTTATACTGATTTTATATTTTATTATTGTCTGATTGTATGTTGCAAACTATCTTAAAATTAGTTTGTTTCAGGGATATACTTGCTGTAAAAGTTACTATACGTTTCAAACTACCCTCTTGTGTTGGGCTCGGTTCATCAGGTAATATTGAGAATATATATATATATATATATATATATATATATATCAAACTGAAACAAATATACCATCACATCATCATAGAAATTGGAATTTGTTTCACTCAAAAAAAAAATTTTCCTTTTCATTACCTTCAGTTGAGTTCATTTTTTCCATGGAAGATTCAATATAAATTCATATTCAGGAGCATATTGTGTTTGCGTTACAGCTGCATTGTTGCAGACAGCTGGCTTGATACCTGCTCCATCAATTCCTGTAAGCGGTTGATTTTTATGTCTTCCGTGTTTACTATTTTTATCCGCCCTATCGGTTATAGATATGTCAGTTTTAAATGATACATGACGTAATTGTCACTTGTAATATCTGATTTCAATCATAAGATTGGACTTCATCTTATTGTTTGAAATATTTTAAAGATATATGTGATAGGATAGCTTGTTGGAGAAAATGAATTGACTGAGTGAAGTTTCATTGGTAATTGTAGCAGTTGACAAATGGCTTCCTTTCAGTCAAGCGATAAGGAAACATTTGGATCTCTTTTAACTCATTTCTCTCATACTGGAGTGTTAGAAAAGCTATTGCTGAATTAAAAAAAAAAGAAACTCAAAATGAGCTATTTAAGAAGCATATTTTTTTTCATGTATTCAGTAGAAATTAAATCTTAAAGTAAGTGTTCACGGCTTTCAGTGTGGGAAATATTGCTGCTCGCTTACACTTTGCAGCGAAAGTTTTTGCTTATTTTTCTCTTGAACATTGTTTTTGTGTTTTTCTAAGATTAGTGAAAGAATATTTACTATGGAAAAGCATTGATTAATTTGAACTACAATTTAGTTTAGTTATTTTCAAGATTTATAGTGTTTATTGATCCTCGGTTATACAGGTAAATGATGAAGGATCACTGACATGGGAGGACCACCACCTGGACATGATCAGGAAATGGTCAGCTGCAGCTGAGTCACTAATACATGGACGAGCTTCTGGACTTGATGCAGCTGTATGTACTTATGGTTTGTTTTTTCTTCAACTTCCCACAAAATTTATATTTATTTTATACGTTTACATTATGATCGAAATTCAAAAACAGATTCGTGAGTGCTTCTCAATGTAAGCTAATAACTTTGTTTTTTAAAATTTCGAAATTGCATTTATGCTGTATTGACATTATTTCTAGGGACTAGGAACCATCTTTTTTAGTTTTCAAAATTTTTAACAACTGTCTATTGTTTTCAGGTGGTGTCGCATGTTTCAAACCCGGAACATGCATTCAGCACTTAAGAAAGTAAGTTTTCGTTTTCGCATCAGATTTTTTTCTATTTTACGTGTGATCTTGAATGCTTCTGACATGTTTTTTTTGTAAAAGGAGTATTGCATTCATTTATTTGTCTGTGTCTGTCCATCACTTTCATTCATTTTTAATCCCTTTTTTATTTTTAGAAACATGTTTTGCAGATCTGCAACAAGTTAATTGTGTCCTAATGCATTTTTGATCTTTTTAATAGAAAAAAAAGTAAGTCATGTTTTCAGTCTTCCGGACCTCAGGGTAATATTGGTTAATTCGAGAGTTGAAAGAAACACTTCACGGATGGTACAGACAGTGAAGGAGCGGTTGAAGAAAGTAAGAATCTTGAGATTTTTACAATAACTTTTTTAATAGTAATTAAGAAAGATCAAAAGTATTTTTAATCAGTTCTAGCACGTATTTTTAAATGTATTTTTTTTGGTTGTGACATTTAAATACATGAGAAAGCACTATTAGATCTTTTTTCCATTTTGGAATGTAATATTTCTTAATTTCGTTTCCATTTCCTTTCTTAAAATTCATTCGTTGTTGAAGAAATTGACTTTAACCGAGAAAAGCTGATTTCAGTTTCCGGATGTTGTTGAATCGATTTTCAATGCTATCGATGCAATTTCACGTGATGCAGCAAGAATTTTGCATCGACCACCGGAAGAAAATGGCGGTGATGATAGGGTGTCAAATGGTGGCAATAGCAATAACTCAGCTGGTGCGGCATGTACCGACGGTGACCATCAATCTTTGCAGGTAATTTTCTTCTTTTCGTTTCTTTCAACAGGAATAATTGTTACACACTGTTGATTTTTTTGAATTTAACCGTGACAAGTAATGATTCTAGTATTATTGATAGGATTAAACTCGTTATTTTGCATTGATTCGAAATGCTTCTAAGTTCACTTTGATGCTGCTACATTGATATCTGTTAAAGTAGAACTCGAATAATGATACTTGTTATCCTGATATTCGTTAAGATAATAATTTGGCAACATTGAACTAACAAAATACCGGCTGTAACAGATCACTGCTTTAAATGAACCTTGTATTTTAAATTAGATTAAAATCGTTTTTTTTTTTTTAAATGAGTGTTTTTGCAATCAATTCTGCATTGCATGTTTTAATAGGAAAGGAAAGATAGAATAGAAGCAGTTTTTTTAAAGTACATTGTATAACTGATCAGCATGGTTTGTTTTACAAGCAAACTGACGTAAACTAAAATTATTGTTTGTAAATCATTATTTGGTATGCATCAGCACTTTAGTACTTTTTCCACAACAAAGATTAACAGTCGTAAAATCGTTATCTATTTTCAGGTAATATATATATA